CTTCCTGAAGTTTTTTAAGCTTTAAATTATTTTGGTTTAAATTATGTGTCACATCAACTAAACTATTTAATGCATTACTTTGCTTTGATTCAATCATTACATTATTATCATTTGGTTTCTTTGTTTCTTTCAAAGAAAATACATTATCTTTAAAATATTTTTCCAAATTGCTTTCATTGCAAACAATATTAACATTTTTAATTTCAGCCTGAATACATGCATTTAAAGTATCATCTCCAAAAGATGGCATTTTAGTAATCGACTGCATTTTGTTTACAGTATTGTAATTTATTCATATAATAATATATTCGAAAAATATTTGAAACAAATAATAGATTTACATAATTCATTGATCATTTCATTAAGCTCCACTCTTTTACAATATTTACATTATATTTATACATAGTATTAAAACATATAAATATTTTGTACAATTCTTGATTTTGATTCATTTCATTTAAATAATTCTAGTAATACTATACGTATAAATAAAATAATGAAATTCATTTTTCAAATATAAAGTAAATCATTATATAAAAATCAGTTTATGTGTATACAATTATTGGAGTAGACATCACTAATGCTTCATTCTTTATTGGTTAATTTGATTTTCTGAATTAACCAATTTACATAATGTACAATTAAGAATTAGTAAACAAATAGGCGTTCATTTTCACTATACTTTCACATTCTCTTAAAATTAAAATTATTAATTACAACGAAAACATTGTGAACGAAAGTTTTAAACACATATGATCAACGACCATGCGACCATGCGAACATGCAACGGTGGATTGTAACGTTACAGACAGTGCTATCTGTTTATACCGACTTTAACTATTACTACTTGGACAGTCAATAGTTAAGAGTTATTAAAAATATCATTGAAATATATATTTGAAGTAACATTATGAATTATTTTGATTTAATTTTAAGAATGTGTTTCTATGTGTTTTTAATTTTTTTAGAAACGTTTTCATTCCACTATATTTGCCATTGGGTCAGTAATCGAAAGGAGAGCATTTCTTATACTAAGGCATTCTATGGCCATCCCTTATTTTAATATTCACTATTTTCTTCGAATACACAAACTAATGTTACAAGTGTAACGAAGGGAAACATACTATTAAAATTTTGTGTGGAATAAATATAGTCAGATTATACTTTATTTGAAAGGTTTCATGAAGCCTCAGAAACTTCACTTCATTAGTTAGAAGACTGTTATTGATTGCGTTAAAATGTATTTGATTATAATGCAAGTGATATAGGTTTTTTAAATTATTTTTAAAAGATTAATAATTTGTTGTCTATGAATTGATTGTACCTAAAACTATAACTATACTTTTATTAATAATCAGTAACTTTTGAGTTACAAAATGCTCTGTAATTTGAAAATTATTTATAAAATGTCTAACACCCAAAATGTCCTGAAACTGAATTTTGTCAATATATGAATTTGAAAAGACTATGAACTTTACTAATACGTTAAAATGTTATGTATACTTTTTAAAAAATTAATACTTACAGCAAAATGTTATCAAAATCTACGATTCTTTATTATTATTACTGAAAATTTCAAATTTTTATTTGTTGCACTATACAATAACTTAATTCCAAAGTTTCTATTGACTTATTTAAATAATCATATAGAAATTTTAATTGTTCTTTTGTGTCAATTTTTGAAGTTCAATTTAATGAAAGTGACAGATTAGCACAGGTTTAATTTTAAAATTAAGGTACCATCGAAGCAAACCTTCCTGCATAATAAAGTGGAATTAATGACCTAGAATAGGTCTAAATTATGATATCCATGTACCGCGCAAGGAAAAATAATAATTATTCTGTTTGAAGGATCACCAAGATCTTCAGAACCTGGTAATATAGCAGTATTAAGAATTCAAAGTGCATCTTTTATAGATAATCTTCTATCGAAATTTCTAATAAAAAATTTGCTTGTCAAATCAAACAAAAGTTATGAGGAAGAAAGGAATCATTATTAGTTTTCTTCTTTCAAGGAAAAAAAAATATTCGTAGTAATTGGTTACAAATCTTTTAATACACATACTTCAGCTATACACAGAATTGTGTATTATCATAAGATACTTTGCAAAACAATATTTGAAGTTTACAATAATTCCTTATCACTTTAGATATCACAAATTGCGAGTATATCGTAATTCCATAGCAGGTTCGTAGAGTAGAAATAATTAATAAAACAATTTTTCGACGCGGTTTGGCGGACCAGTTTCGAAAAATAATAGAAACGAAGCAACGCCTAATAGGTCGGAAGCTTGAAAGCTTAGCAGCTACTGTAAATACAAAAATACATGTTACCGCGTCAGTTGGCGCTTTTAATTACGGAAGGTTGTTGTGACGTTTGTCCAACTCAAATGAGACGTTCCTCAGAACGAACCGAACGATAGAGAGAAAGAAAAGAAAAGGAAAATTTACAACATGATAGCTATTAATGAAAAAGTGCTCGGAGATGATCAATGATGGTGGAATCGTCTCCCAGCGACTTTAATTTCACAGTCGAGTAGAAATATGGAAATCAGGTGCACGTTCATCCTTCATACCCGACACATTCTTTATCGGAAAATGCGGGGCACTTGAATATTAAAATATTCTCGCGGCTGTGGGACGTGTTGATCAATCGCGTATTTATCACACTTATCGTTTACGATTCGGTCTTGTATATCTTAAACGATTTACGCCTTTCACGTCTTCCGCATAACTGAATCTGCTGCCGATTTCTCGACACATTGCGGTTCCACCGGAGGGTAACAGACAGGCAATAATGAAATAGACGCTCAATCAAGCTGTAACTGGCAGTCGTTTATATTTAATAAGCAGAAAGCTGGCACGGTAATGTGTATAATCACATGAAGCGTTATGTACCGAAACATTTTTCCGGCGTGACGAGAACGCGCACGCTCGCCCCCTTTTCTTTATCAGTTTATTAATCAGCGGGAAACGAAAATAAATTCAGACTGTACCTAGAAACATGTCATTTTGCCGGGTTATTTAACTTTTTGTCAACAGCGCAACTGTACACCGTATTTTATTAAATGTTGACAGATCACTACTGAGGGAACTGTAACACTTAACAGTTAGACAAGTTACTTCTGCGAATATTTATTACACTGAAAGCAGCGCTTTTTAATGACTCGTTTGAGATTGTTCATTTCTATGTAGAATATTTTTATGAAAATTGGTCGGCGAATGCTTTATGCAATGAAATTCTTTGTAAAATAGTTGAGAATGAAATAGTTTAGAACGTTATAGAGTTGAAATAGGATCTTCCTAAATGTGGTCGTAAGAGTTAGACTGATTAATGCTCATTCTGTTTAAAATTGAGTGGCAAGTGAAGATTGAGTGAGTTAACATTTTTAAAATTTAATCATTTACATTGAAATTAACATTATAAATAACGAAAGAGGTTTAATTTAGTTTCACTCTGAGTTACGATTTTATCTTTAGGTAGGTAGAGGTCTTCTTAAGAACCTGCGTTGTTTAGATATATTCATATATTTTTTTATCAATTTTTATAGATTGTCCAACTGTTCCTTTGACTTACATCGATTTTCTTAGTAGATTTAATGTTTTATAAATGAGTGATAACTTCATTCATTCATTTCATTTCTTAATCTTTATTTCCAATATCTTCTAGACTTATTCCAAACCTCATTTCTTCAATCCTTTTTCACTTACTTGTGTTCTAATTATTCCAAGAATTCTTTAATATTCAAAGAAATTACATTCAAACATCAATAATAATTCTACTCTCTCAACAATACTCCAATATAAGAACAGCAAGCGAAATTATTAAAGAAATTGATTTAGTAATACATGAACTGAATTGTAAATCAATTAAAGTCTCAATAGTTGGACTCTTGGAGTTTTTATAGAGGAATTTCAAAAAGTCGATTTAACTGCTCGGTAGTTTTAGTGTTAATCCTCCACAGAATAATTATATCAAAAACTAGGAAAAGACGTGTCCCCCAAAATAAACTCAAACACAGAGTCTACCTTACAGGATCTCAAAGGTTCAAGACGTCGAATCATATAACTTCAGATCGTTAATTCCTTCAAATTCGATTTACCGCCCACTAAAGTGCCCTCATCAAACGCAATTCGTCACATGCCGTCCGGTCTCAGCGCACCTCTTGTTACGTGTACGCAAACCCAATCATGAACGTCGACCTACGCGCTGGGACGGTACCGGAATCAATGTTCAAAGTTATCGTTCAAACGTCCGCTTGATATCGGCGCGAGAGTGTGAACGAAGCCTAAAGGCGTTGAGGCGACCGGGCGTCGGACAAGGCGAGAGGACATGCGGGCAGACAGGCAGACAGACAGAAGCTGGAGCACCTGTCTGTCCCTCCACTCTTCTGCACGGTAAAAGAGGGGCCGGCACCGGGTACCTCGTGCCGTGGTTCAGTATCTCGTGCACGCTCACGCTGATAAGACCTTATTCTAATCACCCGTCACTTGGCGTCGATAGTCGTGCGCGGACCTTTTACGCGATCTCACGCTCCGTCTGTCGCAATTCCTTCTTCCTTCCTTCGTCCGCGGGCCGTATCGCACGCATATCCTGTCTCATCTCC